GGGTAGGGATGGATAGGGCAGGAATTATAACCACCCAGGAGAAGGGCAGGGATGGAATCACACAGCTGGATTCCAGAAAAAATAGCCAAGTGTCTCCATAAAGGAATTAAAAGCCAGGAACAAGAAACCTATAAAGGACTGTGTATCAACAGGAGGTACTTAGACAAGGTGAAGTAGAGTATCTGACAAGTGAAGAAGGCTTTGCCCAATAAGCATTTCTGGAACAAAGTGGAACGACAAATATTGACCGGTCACTGTGATACCGGAATATCAGCCATGCAGGAAGGATCTATTAGGTCATGGAGGTATGGGAGTACCTAAAAGATTCTGCTGTACCTAATGAGATACAATTTCCAAAGCGAGAGGGCATTTGTGTCCATACAGATCCTACTGTAAGGCCAAGTCATAGGAATACCACACTTGTTACAAGGGTCATACTGCTGATCACCAGATCAGGAAAATGAGAACAAGTGCATAATGTTGAAGGAGATCAAAGTAGCAACTAAATCTAACAATGGCCAACTTCCGCTACTTGCAATATAAAATGACCATATGCCAAGATATGGTTTAAGGAGCAATTTTTTGATACCATATATAATTGCACCTTGAAACAGCTACTTTTAGAGCACACAGAAGCTACTCTCAGTAGAGTTCCTAAATCTGACCCAGGAATCAATTCAAGAAGTAATTATAGCTGATCCATTGTAGTTGAGGCCTGGCCTGACAAGTGATTATCACATAGGGGGAGGCCTTATTTTTTAGATGACAGGATTAGGGAGGTGAATGAATTATTAGGCTGAAAACAGGATGTTTGGCCTGAATAAGATAAGTACATAGGCCAGTAGGCCAAAAAGACCCAATGTCTGAGCCAGCTAAGATAAGAGAAAGGACAACCAGTGAATTGTTTACTATGAACTAGATAGCAAAGGACAAAATAAGTTAGGAATGAAGAGATAAAATAAAGAGGAAGTTGAAATAGGGAGAACGCATGGACATAGCATGTGGTACAGGGCTCCTGCACCAAGAAACCAAGCCAATCCTAAAATATATAAGGCAATGTGTAGTAAATATAATGAGAGAGAGTTTTTGTGTTACTTTGGGGCTACAACATACCCTGCATCCATCCCCCTGCATTTGAGTCTGATCAACTCAGCAGAGTGCTGCTGCCTGCCAAAAAAAGGCACCTAAGTGACAAATTCTGGAATCTAAAGAGGTCTCAAAGGGACTCCCAAAATCCATTAAATACTTGTGGCCACAGTATAATTAAGTTCAACAGCCTCATGAGAGGAGTGATATCATACACTAGCACTATGACTTTAAAAGGGGACTTTTTTAAAAAAGGGAAGAGGCTAGTCCAGAAAAAGACCTTACAAGTGAGTAAATTAAAATCCTCACATTCTGCATGGAGGCTGCTATATCATAGTCTCTAGAAGTATGTTTACTCCCTAAATTGAAAGGAAGCTAGAAGTTATTACAAAACAGCAGAGATTAAATCATCACTTGATGATTATCTGTTCTGCTAATTCCCTCTGAAGCATCTGGGATTGGCTGCTGTTGGAAGACAGGCTATTGGGCTAGATGGACCTTTGGCATGGACATTCTTATGTTTCAATGGAAAGATTCAAGAGATTTGATCCTTCAAAAATGGAAATCCAGCCCAAGTGAAGTTAAAGGAATAAACTCTGGTAGCAATAATGTAAAATGGAATCTAGAAGGGGATTTGAAGAGCAAACAGGCAAAGGCAAAACAAGCAAAAAGAAATAAATATACCAGAAGCAGGGAACCCTTGAGAGAACGGGTAAGTCTTTGAGGCAGCCAGGGAACAAAGGAAAATATTTAAGGTGGACAGCAATATTGCAAAGAAATATATTTTGGGGAGATCAGCCTTCAACACAGAAGGAGATACCAAACCCACACCCACACTTTTCAGCTAGTAAAGCTGCAGCACTGAGAGAGATTGGTGTCCTATTTACGCTCTTGTGACTCAAGAATAAGGGAACAGGTAGAGAAATTGTAAGGTGATGTATTTAAACCTGGTAAAAGTACAGCACACGTTTAATCGTTGGAACTCATTGCCACAAGATATCATAAAGGCCAAGAAATTAGTGTGCTTAAAAATAAGTATTACATGTTTACATAAACATTCAAAGCTATATCAGCTGGGAAACAAAATGTATACAGGACATAAACCCTCCTGGTTCAGGGCAAGTTTGACTCAGTGGGGCAAGTTTGACTCAAATCCAAAGGGCAGAAACCAACCTCTCAGTGAAGGAGGTGAGGAAGAAACTTGTCCTACCTTCCTAGGAAGCTGATGGTATGGTCCACTGTTGGAGACATGACACTTTTTAATTGGACCACCTAACTTATTTGGTGAATTAAAGAGGCAGCATGTATGTGTGAACATTCATGGATCCCATTGTAAAGTTGGAGTTAAACACATATGGCGAAATACATCCCTGGGGTAACACTACTGAATTCACTTCATTTACATGAAGTACATAGTATATCAGATGACACAGCTGCAAATTAATACTAAACTAAATCTACCTTTCAAACTGATTAGCAATAATGATGATCTTTCCTGAACATATTTTTAAGGCCATGCATTTTTTCAAAACTTATTTTCCCCCTTTTCCTTTAAAGTCAGTTTCAGTGGTAAGATAGCTGATTGAAGATGTGAGCGTCATTTAGAAAACTCATTCAAATACACCATTGTCTTGCTAATGCCTCTCTGAAGAGGAAACTCTCTAGCAATCGTCTGTAAACAAAAACCTGGAGTTGCTGATGGGGTTGGAAATTGTAACTGCTGCATAGAATCGTGAATCATCAAGTATCAGTGCACCAAGGTTGTAAGTGTGCTTTCAGTGTTCTAAGGAATGCAGAGCTAGCAATGAATCTTGCAGGGAGACACTGTCCCAAAGAGCCTATAGTATACTCATCCTTTTAAAATAGATGTCTTCCTACAGTCCCATTTAAGGGAACAATCCTGAGGCATCTGAATAGGGACTTAGATGACTCAATTTTGCCCCCCCCCCCCCAAGCTTGTATATTTTGGCCTTTTTCTCTGTGTAACACAGAGAAAAGAGCTACATGTGATGCCGGCAGGCCAAATGACTGGTTATGTCTACACTGGGAATGTTTGGCAAGAAAAGTGCTGTTGACATGCAAAAGTGAAAACCAGTCAAAGTGGTTTTTCTGCCTCCCATTGTCAACAGTTCATGGCCATGCGGCTAGCGCGCCTGTCAACAGATAGAGCAGAGCAATGTGGGCAAGTATCCCTCAGTGGAGTGTTGTGGGAAGGCAGAGCTGACCCCTGCACTTTTTGGGATTCCCTCTGAGCTCTGTGAATTCTCCGTGCTGAGGAATGTCAAAGCAGCACAGCTGTCTATCCAGCCTCCCCCTGTGTTCCCAGCAGGGCAGAACAGGCACATTACGATGATTTGCTCTGTGTTCCCCAAATGGAGCAGCTCATTCAGCTGTCAGATACTTCCTGGGCATTTGAAAGGGATGGGGCACATGCCTGCAGGTTTGCAGAGATCATAAAACACTGAGCACAGCCATCAGGGCAGGCATTCTGGGACACTGGACGAAGCCAGTTCTCTCAACAAAAACAACAGAGTCCACAGTGGCTTTTTGTCAACTACCAAGCGAGGGGAAAAGACAAAAGTCTCTCACTGGGCTGGAAGGTTTGTGTCACCAAAATTGTGCTTTTTTGCACCAAAAATGGCATTGTAGTGCAAACGCTCTCACTGTTTAGTTGCCAAAAGGCAGTTTTTGGCAACAAAACATGCCAGTGTAGACAAATGAAGGGACTTCAAGGGTTAACAGTTAAAAGGCAGAGAATTCAACCCTTTTGAAAATCCATTACTGTACAGTTCTTTCCTCAATGCTGTAGAGGAAAACTTAAAAAAAGAAAATGGCCAAAATATACAAACTGAGGCACCTAAGTCCCGATTCAGACGCCTAATGAAAAGCAGCTTTGTTTTCAAAGTCAAATGGGAAGGTAAAAGTGTTAAAAGTCTCAGAGGAGTAGCCTTGTTAGTCTGTAATGAAAGAACGAGTAGTCCTGTAGCACCTTAGAGACTAACAAAAAATATAGAGAGTATCATGAGCTTTCATAGGCAAAACCAACTTCCTCTGATGACTGGAGAAAGAGATTGGAGAAAAAAGGAGGAATGTTCAAATTTAGAAAACAGAAGAAGAAGGGAGAGGGGGAGAACCCCCCCCCATCAATAGTAGTGCCCATGCTAATGAAGCTAATTGAGTAGGCTATACGTGTCCCATATTTAGCTTTTGATGTCATTTGGGTGAGCCAAGTGTGGGACACTTACAGCCTATTAGTTTCATTAGCAATGGCACTACTATTGACAGGATCCCTCCCCCCCATTCTTCTGTTATAAATTCGGAGGTTCCCCCTTTTTTCTCCAATCATCTGAGGAAGTGGGTGCACAGCTTTTTACAACCAAATTTAGAATAGGGATTTGCATATGCTTATTGGGTAGTTGAGTAGTGGCTCGACTAGTCACTTACCCTTCCACCCTTTGGTACCTCTATCAGAGAGAGGCAGCAGGGGAGGGGAGCAGAAGCTAGTGGTGGGGGGAAGCCAGCTTACAAGCTGATTCCCCTTAGCACCATCTTCGCGGAGGGGGAGAGGACAGAGGAGACAGAGGCATAGTGGGAGGACTGGCACAAGCCAGGAATCAGCTGATTCCTGGTCCTAGATACTGTGCCTCTACTTTTTAAATGTATTAAGAGCCTGGTGGCTCGTAATACATTTTAAAGACAGAGCCGCAGCACGGTTAGCTCCTGGGCTGGGAGCTAACCCCTCCGTGGCTCTGCAGTTTCCCCCCTTATCGACTAATCGAGTAGTCGATGGAAATTCCATCGACTACTCGATTAGCTCATTAAATGCAATTTAACATCCCTACTTTGGAAACTTGTTGGCCACGACTGTGAAAGTGTTGGCCTGAACCGATAACACCGACAGGTGTCAACTTTACCTTTGGAATGCCTGCTGCAGTTTCTGACAAGCGAGGGTAGGTGTAGGAACTATATGAATGTCCTTGCTGATTTGCTTTAAAAACACTTGCTCCGTATGGCACAACTGGTTCCTGAAGACCCGAGCCTGATCTGGATCTCTGTCTCATGGTTGGCTGAGGACTTGTCTGATTTACATATGACGACTTTGGTCTTTTGTCATAGTCATCTTTGTCTGGTCCATTTCCCCAGTCGCTGTCACTGTATTCCAGTCTCTCTTTTGAGCATTCACTGGGCACTGAAGTTCTAGACAGAGAGTAGTGAAAGGGCTCTCTGTAGTCTAGAAAGGATCCACTAGGAATCCTCTGATATTCCAACACGAGTCCACTGTATTCAATTGGTTTGCTTTGTGTGTCCATATGTGTATGATAATCTGGAAGGAACCTTGAAATGTCTGACTTCAGGGGTTTAAAATCTGAATAATAGGCATCTCTAGGTTTTGTTTTCATTGTGTGTCCATTTTGTTTTGGAGTGAAGCTACCTTGGCAGTATCTGTCCAACTCGTCCTCGTAAAGGCTCTTGTCTCTGTATTTCTCAGTGACGTAGTCCGTCGTGGTGTCCGACTCACTGGAATACTGAGAATATGTGATATAACCATTTTCTTCCTGGTGGCTTTGTACATGGTTTGAGTTTCCTTGGTGTGGTGTGGGAGGACTTTCCTTCCGTAGGGAATTGGAGCGTGTCACTGAGATATTGTCAAATTCTTCTAGCAGGCCATTGATTGAAGTATCCTTTGGAGGTTTATTTCCTCTAACGATAGTCTGGGAACAGAAAATTGCTTTGATTAAATATAGTCTTCAATTTAATATTTGACTGATAAAACCTCTGAACAAAAGGATCTCAGTGATCTAGGAGGCAATATATTCTGAGGTTTTGTTCTATTCTTCTATGAGGTATCTCATTTGAAGGGAAAATGTATTTTTTCCAATAGCTACTTTACTGTAGAATCATGTGGCGACAGAGGCCCACTTATGGCCTAAGATCACCCAAAGAAATAAATGATTCTGGATGTCTCAATTTTGGGTGCCTAATTTACCACACTTTAAAAAAAAAAAAGGGTTAAAGTTTCAGAGGCAAGATACTCAGCTCTCAACAAATGGAGACAACCCAAATGAGTAGTCGCTTTTGAAAATGTTGGGATTATCATCTTCACTGTTATTTGCTGCTAGTCTGTATCCAGGAAGGCTAATAGTCTGAAGCTAGTGAAGAGTATGTGGAGAAGCTAAAAGAAAACCATTCCACCATTGGCATTCACTTGCACACTTGACAGTGGAAAAACGTCAGAATGGAAAGCAGTAAGCAATTGATTGGGCACTTTATTCTCTTCCAAAATAACATCTGAGAGCGTAACAGAACCACCCCCGGGTGATTACACTGGAGCTCATAAAACATTAGAGACACCGAGGGAAATACAAATAAAGAGTAAACCCTAAATATTTCTCTCTCATGGGATGGGGACAGTCACAGCTTTCAGCAGCACACCTGGGTACAATAATATCTTTAATTAACCAAGTATCTTTTGATGGGATAATGATGGCCCTGGGACAGCCACAGCGTGGGAGCTGGGTGGCTGAACAAGCCTTTCCTATATCCTATATGCGGCATAGTCCTCCCTCCTCTCTCCCTTTTGTCCCCAGCAACGTTTCTGCCACCCTCAGGCTAGCGTGACCTCCACAGCCCTTTCTAGAATGCATGAGCCTCCTCTCCCCCTAACTGCATCACCTGCTCCCTACTGACTCCAACCCAAGGCCTCAAGACTGGGACTTCAGGGCACCCATGAAATCAGCAACACTTGGTTTCTGCACTCAGCGACGGGACTGTTTTCTGACTCATTACAGCTGTCACAGTCGCGTACAATTATAGCCAGGATATCCATATTGATTAGGCATCAACTCCTATAGCGAGGGCCCGAAAGAACCACCGTGATGTGCGTAAGCTTCCTGTGAGAATGGGATGGATTCACGACGGGCCAGCTGGTGTGAGTCACTGGTTCTCTATGCCACGTCAAATTTGCTTTGTGGATTCATACTAATTGAGGAGATAGGCCTGGATTTTTTAACTCTGTTGAGTCTGTAAACAGAACTTAAGCCAGCCCAGGGAGACATCCTGGAGCCGCAGTTCTGTGTTATCGTTCGGCATCTTTACAATCCCCATCTAGTTTGTGCCACGACCGTGGCTTCAAGGTGCCTTTCAGTGCTTCCCACAGGGGAGGAGCTACTGGATCCCTGACTACATGGATCATCCCCACAGAGAGGTGGCCCGTAGGAGGGCCACGTCACTGCAACTCTGAGATTGCAACAGCTGCTCTGGAGCCTTAGGGTACGTGTAGACTACATGCCTCTGTCGCCAGAGGCATGTAGATTAGGCTACCAGACATAGGAAAATGAAGCAGCGATTTAAATAATCGCCGCTTCATTTAAATTTACATGGCTGCCGCGCTGAGCCGATCAGCTGTTTGTCAGCACAGCACGGTAGTCTGGACGCGCGGGGGTCGACATCAAAGGCATTTGTCGACCTCCCAGGTAAACCTCATCCCAGGAGGCATACCTGGGAGGTTGACAAATGCCTCTGGCGACACAGGCATGTAGTCTAGACGTACCCTTAGTGGGAGTGTTTCCTTCCCATGGTCTGATCCCCACTGACTTCTCTGTGCACTGCCTGGCTCCTGAGGGGGGAGAAGGGCAGAGCGGAGAAGGCTTTGGGCGCTTCCCCCGCCCCAGGCTCTGATTGGTGGGGGTGGAGGAGCAGCAGGGCCTCAGCGGGCTGGATCCACCTGCTTGGCGGGCCGAATCCGGCCCACGGAGGCCCTTTTGCCCACCCCTGCTGTAGCCAGTCGTTACCTCCAAAGAGCTTATAATCTAAATAGACAGCCAACAAAAGGGTTCTTAGAAACATCTCCCCTATCACCTTGCATCCCAGCTCTTCTCACACACACAATGTCAACCCATCTCTTCTTCCCCAACCCCAGAACCTTTTCTGTTCCCTTGCCTGCTGTGCTACTTGCTGCACCCTTCTTTTCTCTAACCTCTCTCTCAACCTCTTGGGTTTTCACTGAATCCTGAAATCAGCTGCAGTGAATCAGCTTAAGATGAGATGACCACAATCCTGCAGTGTCTAAGGACAAAAGAGCCAATCAGATGATATCCCGGACTGGAAGGTGAACCAGGGTCCAAGCAATAGGTGTGGTGGTTCACCTCCCAGCCACATCATCCTTTCACAACTAACCAGCTGTCCCTTGTTCTCAGAACAGCAACCAACGCCTTAGGTCCTCATCTCTTCTCCACCTTGTATGTGCCTGTGTGTTAAAAACAGAAGGGAATACTGCTCAGACATCGGGACTGGCAGTAACATTAACCCGCACCTTTTCATTAAAGAAAAGTTGATAAGGAAAATAAGAGACCCTGATATTTGCTTCCAAAAGCTTTAATAGGTTTCGATTAAGTTTGTTTGGCGCACTCAGTTCCATTTTCATTATAAATGCTTTGTTTTAGTTCCTTGTTCTTTCTTGTGCTTGATCAATACACTTTCAGCTTTAGAATGAATGTTCTTGGGTGTTTGCCAAGAAACAGAGTACACTGTAAAAAACAGAATCCCAAAGCAAAGTATCACTGTTTTACTGTTGGAAAGTTTATAAACACCTTCCATTTCTTTGGCTCTGGAGATCACTGCAACAGGCACCACACCACAGAGCAGGCCAGTGATAGTGTTTCTCCCAGGGAGACTGTGCTTTGAATACATTCTGCTGCACCCGACCCAGAGCTACATTTTGCCTGATCCATGCACAGGTGTGCATAGGCGCTGTTCCAACCCCTGCTTGAATTAGTAAGAAAACCCCAAGTACAGAACACGCTTTGTTATCCGGCACAGGTTGCTGGTTAATTGAATCTTCTGGATACTTGAGCTTATTGCTCTGGCCCTGTCCCTGTTTGGAGGAAACCACAGCAACCAATACCTGCCCCTGGTGATCCTTCCCTCCAAGCCACAGAGCCATCCTATGGCAAGCAGATGTACAGGGCAACTGCCCAGGAGTCCACCAGAAGATCTGGCTCCTGGCAGCTCAAGGCAGGTTGAGGGGGAAAGGGGGCACCTGATGATGATGGTAGCTGGAAGCCAGCCAACTGTACAGACAGGAGTCAGGCACGCACGCCTGAAGACGTGGGTGTATAGTGGCTGGGGGCAATGCCAGTTAATCACGCTTTCCAGACATTCAAGTGCGGGCTGACAAAGCTTTTACTGCACCTGTTTCCATCTTCAGTGCCCCCCTACAAAAACTCATCCAGGGGTTGCCGTCTGTGTGAGGGGCTCTTGCTGCTCCTTGCAGAGTTGGCGTGGTGACCAGGCAGAGTTGCAGTACATGTGCTTAGGGGATTCACAGAGACTGCTCTGTCCCTACTTCCCCAGGAGTGCATGCTGTCTCACAGGGAGCAGGTGGGGGCATGGCCCCATCTCCCACCCTGCACTGTCCCCCCGCCCCCGAGTGCAATCAGCATAAAGGGCCCCATGCTCCCTGTGTGCAGGGAGTTCAGAGAGGACTCCCTCTGCCTGGGCCTCACAAGCTTGACCAAGCCCTCACTACAGGTTGAAACTCTCTTAACTGGGATTCTCCGGTCCAGCAACATCCATGGTCTGGCACAGATGTTGCAGGACCGGAGAGTCCTGGTGGCGGGCCAGCGGCAAGGATCCCTGTGAGCTGGCAGGGCAGTGGGTGGCCCACAGTGAGCTGACAGTGGGGGCAGGGTTGGGAGACACAGTGCGTGGAACTGGGAGCCAAAGTAGCTTGGAGGGGCAGAGAGCCACGGCATGCCCGGCGGGTCCCAGAGCTCCAGCGCAGCAAGTGCAGCTGCACACCAGCATCAGCAGGGCAGAGGGGCCAGCAGAAGGTGGGGAGCCATCTGGAAGTCCAACAGCTAGGCCTGGGGGGCTGGTGGCAGGGGTCCAAAATGACCTTCCTTGGTCTGGCAAAATCCCTCATTCGGGACCACTCAGATCCCGAGGGTGCCGGGCGAGGAAGGTCCAACCTGTAGTTTCTCAGGGTGGGGCCAACTGTGCCGTCTTTAACCATGATGAGCAATACCTGATTCCATGGGGCAACATCCAGCCCATTGTACATAGCAATCGGTCAGAGGTAAGGGAGGGAGAAGATAACTTCTGGGCCCTTTCATCTCTAAGGGCCTGATTTTGTTACCCTTGCTCACATCTTACACTGTTAGCAGCCCCACTGACTTGAGGGGCGCAGAAGCAGATCCTGCAATTTTCTGCCTCCCCAGATTAGTCTCCTAGCTGCAAAGTTGGCTGATTCTCAGGAGGAGTGTGGATGGCAAAATTTGGACCTAAGATGTATTGCACACAATGGAAAGCACCTTACTAATTAAGCAGTGCCACTAAGATCAATAGGGCGGCAAGAGAATGCTCAATGATGTTCAACCCACAGTCAACCTGTGGAACTCATTGCCGGGGACACTGTGAAGTATAAAAGTGTAACTGGGTTCAAAAAATAATTAGGTAAGTTCATGGTGGACAGATCTCCAAAGAGCTATTAGCCAAGATTGTCATGGAGGCAACCCCATGCTCTGGGTGTCCCCAAGTCTCTAACTGCGAGATGTTGGGTTTGGACGACAGGGTATGTATTACTTTGTAATTCCTTTTGAAGCACCTGGCATTGGTTGCTGCTGAAAGACAGGATCTAGGGCTAGATGGAGGATTGGTCTGGCCCACCATGGTCATTCTTATCTTTTTAAGTAAGGACACTGACAGGTGGCAT